TGAGCCTAAGCGACTATAAACTACAAAACGCTCTAAGCCTCAGTAAAATCTCATTTTCATCCGTTTTTAGTGATATTTGGCTCAAAAGTTTCAGAATTTGATAATTTAAACATTCTTTGAGGCTAAGAGACTACAAACTATAATTTTTCTAAGCCTCAGTAAAATTTTCAACTAGCTGGTTTCCAGCCGTTTTTTTTCCAAATTTTCTGCAATTTTTCGGTAAGTTTGGCTCACGGAAACATTGTAGTTTGTAGCCTAAGCCTCAGTAAAACGTCTAAGCTCCCTAACTCGACTCATTCTTAGCCGATTTTGATGATTTTTCCAAGAATCCAACCGTTTTTTCGAAATTTAAGCCAATTTTTCGCTCTTTCCAGGTCTCCGAAACCGAATGGAACACTTGGAAATGCATCAACGATCAGTGCTTCGGCGAGCTCCGCACCGTTCCAGACTTCTCGAATATTGAAATCGCGCGGGAACACGTGGAATCCTGTCCATCAGATGAAACGCAAATTGTCATCAGACTCGGCGTCTACGATGCACGTCTTCTGGCAGAATTCACCGAGACGAGTCTTCCAGAACTCTATGAAAATGTTAAAGAAAAAGTGAAAGGAGATTTTCCGGAAATCGACAAAGAGCTATTTCCATCGTTTCTAGCGATTAACGACACACTTAAAGATCATCGCCATAATCGAATTTATCGGAAACGATTTGAGATGCAAAAGTTCAAGGATAAACAGAGGAAATTGAATATGACAGCTGATGAGGTGCTGTACGCGGAGAACGGGTGTGGATTGATCAAGGCGAGAAGGACCAAACCTTTTCCGTTGGTGAGTTTTGAAAATAAGGGAAATTCTGCTTATTTCTGGTGGAAAAAAGGCTAAAAATGAGTCGAGTTAGGGCGCCTTGAAGTTTTACTGAGGCTCAGACTACAAACTACAATGTTATCGTGAGCCTCAGCAAAAATGGAGCGCGGTGGATCCCTCAGGCTTTCACTGAGGCTTAGAGGAAAGCTGTAGTTTGTAGTCACTTAGCTTCCGGAAACGCGCATTCTGTTTTACTGAGGCTAATGGGCTACAAACTACAATTTTCCTAAGCCTCAGTAAAAACTTTAAACTCGACTCTCTTCCAACCGATTTCAATGTTTTTAGCGAAAAATTTTCGAATTTTTTTGTAGTTTGTAGTCACTTCATTTCAGTCTCTCTGCCCTGAATGCAACGATCAAATCATCTCGACAAGCCTCCCGTCACAGGATCAATTGATTTCGC